CATCCACCACCTCTCTAGGGGTGGTCGATGCCCCAAGCCTGTCAGTGTTTAAGAGGCATTTGGACAATGCCCTTAACATGTTTAACTTGGTCAGCCCTGAATTGGTCGGGCAGTTGGACTAGATGATTGTTGTAGGTCCCTTCCAGCTGAAATAGTCTAGTCTATGTAGCTGTCTCTTCTTCTTTAGCTGTAAAGTGAGTTGCCCTGACGTGTAGCCTGGGTAAAAAGGGGTGAAGAATCCTTACAGGAGGTGCTGGTCTGAGGGATGACAGGCGAAATCTCAGCCTGATCGTGCAGCTGCTGTGGGCCAATGCTTATTATCTTGTGCTCTGGGTAGGCAGCACTCAACACTGGGGCTTTCTAAGTACAGCTAATATTCCATAACAGTGAAAGACATCCATAGGTAACAAGGGAAAAGCAGATAAATAAGCTTCTCAAAAGCTGGTAGTCATGGAAGAGCATTGATGCCTGGAGCACTGTCAAATGAGTTCCCTGCTTCCTTTAGCTTTCTTCCTCTACACAGCTCACTCTGGGGTTGAGAATTATTCTGCCAAAACCATTTATTACCTCTGTTCTCATTACGCGTGTATGTGATTTTTGGCATGTTTGTATCGCTGTTGATCATACCAGATAGGTGATTCCCAGTATTTCAGTGTCTGCAGTGTAAAGGTCAGACTGTGTTGAGGATGGTATGGGCATTTTTTTTGGTGGGGATTAGGAGGAGGTGGGGGGTTGGTGTTGGGTTTATTTTGGTTTGGAGGGTTTTTTTTGGTGTGGGTTTCGTTTTGTGGTTTCTGAGAGAAGGAAAAGAAAGTATGCAGATTTGCATGATTCTACTTATTATTCTGCCTGTGCTAGTCAGGGATTCAGCACGGTTGAAAGCAGTTGTTGGGTTGCCCGTTTATCCTTCCCTTTTGGAGTGAGAGCAGTGGACCTGAGCGGGTGGCAGCATTCCTCCACTGTGCTCCGCTCTCATTTCCCACATAGAAAGAAATTAGATGTGATCTTGGAATGCTGGCAACCTTTTGGAAAATGATGGTAGTGATAAGTGGCATTTTGTGGCATTGCATTTGTTCGGAACCACGATGCTACTGTCATATCATAATGGAAATATAGTCTGCAAAGCTTTATGAAAGGCATTAAAATAAAAGGTAGTGGTTTTCTTTCTTGTTTTATCTCTGTTTTTAAACAAAAAGAATAATACAGTTTTTAAAACTGTTTTCCTAGTCTGTTGATTCAGTCATGGCAAAGCAGATTAGTGAAGGGTTTGGAGGTGGGAGTTGTTTCCTGTCATAACTCATCTGAGAATTCAAATACTGTAACATTTTATTTTCAGTGCTAGAACCCTGGAATCTTAAGTGCTAGCAGTTCAGATTACAAAAATCATCCCATTCTTATTCTGAATCATGTTTCGTGTGTATGTGTGTATATATATGCCTATATTTTCATTTCTAATTTAGACTGTGATTATCTGCCTGAAATTTGTAATTTTTTTATTATATTAAAAAAACCAAAATGCCTAAAAAATGGCATTTATGACATGTTAAGACTGGATTTATGGAAGTGTAAGTCTGAAGAAGGAAAGAAATACAAACTTCTAAACCGCTTGTAAAATAAGAATTCAAGACTTGTGTGCAATGGAGTTTTGACTTGGAGATCGGTATTGCATATGTACAAGACAAACATGAAGCCATGCTCCTAGCTGGTATTTATTTAATGTCATAGGCATATCTTTTATATACTTTTTTTCCCTTCTAGAGGGACTTTTTTGTCTGGCAGAATAGGTAGGGAGATGTACCCAAATGCAGATCCAGTAAACTGGATACTTTCTAACTAAATATTGATTGTAGAGATTCTGTTTTGTCTTATGTAGGTTATCATTGTAATGAATTTTAATTCCTTATGCTAGTAAGCTTCATTAGAGTTCTTGATTAATCTACTTCTATTCCACCTTTCTTGAAGTCCTGTGTTGTAAGAGGCCAGATCTGTTCTTACTGAAATTAACACTAAAATAAGTATTAATTAAATTGCACGTGAATTTTTAAGGCATAAACATTTCACTCCATTAAAATCATTAGACATATTTTGAGGGGTTGTCTTCCAAGTCTCAGGCAGAGGTTTTCCAGTTACTCTCTTGTTCTAAATGTTGCTGAACTATGTGTTCACCTCAGTAAATGGACACCATATTTTTTTGTTAAGATGGACTTTTTTCACCTGTAAATGGTGTCTTTGCCTGAAGATGTCTATAGAAATCTTTTGTGGTATTTTTATTTTTGTTTACTTGTTGTTCTTTGGAAAAGGAAATAGGACACATTACTTTCATTCCTTTCCCCCTCTTACTAGATGCAAGAGAAAACATGGTAGAAACAACTGTCTTCCAAATTTTATAACCTTTACAGGAAAGGTTATGATAATTTGTAACAAGACACGTCTCGATTTTTTTTCATGCTCTTCATCTGATTGTGTTTTTTCCATTTGCTTTTGACTGGTTGTATAAATGTGTTGATACTTTTCGGGGATGTTGCCAGGATCTTTTTTTCCAAATTATTGAAGCTTTTTTTATCTTCACAAAGAATCTACCTTTCTCACTGGCAGCTAGAGTTGGTGAGCTAACGCAGAATAAGTTGTCTTCAACAGCTTTTTTCCCCTCAATATTGCTTGTTAGTATAAGACTTACTGTTCAGCAGATAGCCATTGTTATACAAAAATTTCTAAACATATCATTGACCAGAATAAGACATATTGCTACTAGGTACTAAAGCACTGAGAACTTGACATTAGGCATTTAAATTTGAAACTGAGTTGGAATTGAATTGAGAATTGGCTTTGCATACTGGAAGAAATTAAAATAAAGTTCTAAAAATTATTAATTGGACATTCAATTATTTAATTTTGAAACATTGATATAACAAGTATACATAACAGTAGCAGCTCTGCTCAGAAAAAAATAAACTCTTTTCAAACAATATGTTCACAATATCATTGTAGTATTAATGTGTCCTTACCTAAAATGCTACTAGTTTTGACACAATTATTTCCATACATCTTGGGAGGTGTGGTGGAAAAAAGTAATCCACCCATCAGTGCTTTAAAGATTTTTCAGCTGAACACAAAATAAATGCAATGAAATAGCTCTTCTTCAATTGTTTGTTTGAATTCACGTTTAAAATATATTGAACTATTAGCTGATATTTTGTTATGGAAATCCATTTCTCTTGTGCGGAATGTATATAACAAACTATTATGAAAAAAACGTAAATCAGAAAAAATGCATTAGCATGGGAAAATGTGAAGTAGTACAAGGGCAACATCCCAATCAGAAATAAGAAGGAAGTAGTAATTTTTTTTCTCTTTAAAGATGAAATAAATTATTCAAGAATCCAATTCCTTCTCCCTAAAGTCATCTCAGAAGGATGCTTGGCAAATGTTAGCAAGAGCTGACCTAAGAACTTAGTGAACAAATAAAAAGGAAGATTTATACAGATCCCCTCACACCTTTGGCGCATTGATATTTTATTATTTATAATTTGTTCAAGATGTTGGGAAGGAAATAGTGGTTTGCAACAAGATGAAAAAAAAAACATTAGCCACATGTTACACAGTGGTCATTATTCCTTGTATAAAAATCCATGTTTCACATATGACATAATGGCATGGA